ACAATAGTACGTACTAGTTTAGTATATGAGAGAAAAGTAAGAGTAGATAGAACGGGAACAGCATGAGACCCCATTAGTCTTGATATCTTACCATATCTCCTACACAATTGTATAATGATAATGATAATGATCCACAGGTAGAGAGGGAAAGCAAACTGGAGCCATTGTTTAGCATAACTGTCCATACCATTGTAAAAACATATCTCAAACCCAAAGTCTAAGTTAATCCATGATATGACTTGACTCAAGACTGGTAATGCTCCTTTGCTTGAAAAGACTGGCTCGTATAACTTGACAATGTTAGCATAGAACAATAGACCATTGAGTGTACCCACTGATACTGTTAAATTGAGAGCAATGAGTAGAACCACAAGTAGTAGACCCATCACTGCAAACAGAGCAATCCAAGCTATCATAGTGTAATTATTATGACACTGTCCACACTTGTTTGATCCCATTAGTAGACTGTATCCCTCTCTACATGATCCACACATTCTGTGTCCTCTATTATCCACACATTGAGTATCAGTGTCATTCAACTTGAAGGTAAGAGGATTAGGAGAACAATAGAGGAGACAGTCCTCATTGATAATGCATGCATTAGGATTGGTTTCATTAGCATTGAAAGGTGTGCTGGTATGATATGTTCCAATCCACAGTAGACCATTGTGTGTAATGTTTAGACTATTTATATCACATGTCACATTCTCTCTTGAAATACTTTGACTGCAAGTACAGGAACCTTGTGAATTATCTAACCTGAAACCAATGGGACACTCTTTAACAGTAAAAAACACATGAAGGTCTTGGGTCATAGAAGAAGTAATATAGTAAGTGTGATATCCTAATTGAGTCAACTGTGGTGTGTATTCAATCAATGAACAAGTACTGGGAATATGTGTTTGATTGAGCAAGAAACCATTGATGTGATTAAATATATCTACTGTACCATCTGTGGGAGCTTGTGATTTCAAGTAATCATAACCAAACAAAGCCACATTAAACTTCAATGCTTGACCTGGAAAAATTTGTGCATATGCAGCTATACAGTTTTTTTTATTACAAGTTGTAGTATGAGGATCACAAAAGCATATATCTTCTGGATCACTTGTGGAATCAAATTTTGCAGAGTGTGTGACTTTAAACAGATTTATGTCTGGATGGTCATATACATAATATCCATACATATCACCACCAACCAGTGCACTATTATTTATTAATGTAAGAGGTATATTTGGTGCCATTAATCTTATGTCACTATGTGTTGACTCTTCAGCATAGATCCCTCCTCCTTTATAAGAAGCATGATTATCAATAAACTCCAAGTTAGCTGATGATGATACTATTAATCGTGATGAGCCATTTATTGCTAATCCTCCCCCAACTACTCCAGTATTGTTCTTGAATATTAAATTATTCTTAATTGCTACTATTGATGCTATAAGACTCAATCCTGTATAGGTACTGTTAGCAACAGTAACATTACTGAGACTAATAGCATTACTGTTCATTATCTTATTTCCTCCATTTCCAATAAGTTTAGTATCTATTATATCAATTTGGGTGGATTTCAAAAATGTTCCATCAATGAATAATCCTTCATTTATACTGTCATATATCAAACATGATTTAATAATAATGTGATAATTTATTGCTTTTCTGAAATACTTGGCACTATTGATCTTCAATCCTTGTTTATTATTATAAAAGTGACTGTCCTCAATCAAAAGAGTAGAAGTTAATTGAGTACCAGGATATGAGCAATCACTTGAGTCTGAATTTTCATTAAATGTAATAGGAAAACCAAGACCATTACCAGCACTATAAGAGTTGATAATGAAAAAATAAGAAAGACCTCCCACATAAAATGAGGGAAATGTATCATTGTCGTATTGAACATGATTAAAGATGATTGATACATTGTATGCGGTACCATGATACATATCTAGTGTCATTTGACCCCCCACGCTAAAGTTAACATCAGTCAGTATCAATGAGTAATGGAGTAATTCACTGCTACAGCCTGGAAGAGGGTCATACTTAATATCCAGAGAATAAAAGCCAGTAAAGGTAACTGATGACATCTTAACATCAAAAGCATTAAGTGTACTTAAGAATGATTGATCATCACGATATGTCATATAATTAGTGAAAGAACTATGAGTTATTGTAATATTGATAGATGAAGCAACCCACACTGCACAATCACCAAATGATAAGTTAGAAATAATGACATGATCACAGTTATAGTAATACATTGAAAAGCTATTAGCTCCCTTGTTGCAGTGGATACTAGGAGACTGATCCAGTCCATGTAGAGTAACATTCATTACTGCAGTCATGGCAACAACATAATATCTAATGTTAGTAGTTCCAATGAAGTAGAAGATGGTGTTATTGTATTGAGACATATCCCTAGCATACACTGATAAAGGATTGCAAGGTGACTGAGTAACTGAACTGCAATCATCAGACACATAATATTGACCAGAGGAGACACTGCAGGAGCTACTGAAGAATAAGAGAACAACCACTAACAGGAGAGACATAGCTACTGTCTGGACTGACTTCTCAGTGACTGCGAGGGTAGATGATATTTATAGGCTAAGCTATGCATGGGTGCTTGTTACTACAGCAACTGACCTTTTATGGTCAGTTTTGTGTATTAATAAAATAATTATACATACCAGCAAGAGTGGATTATTATTTATAGCAGATCAATAGTAATACACAGTACTATTAATTGGTAATATCTGTAGCTATAAAATGAGGTGGAGGCACCTATGACATATATAGTTTACCAACAAAGAGTTATATCACTTGAATGGTTATACAGATATACCAATCGTAAACAATGTCAACCTCCCAGCAATTTATTTATAATAGTGGGAAAAATTTCAATTACAATTGTCAATTATATTTTACAGAATAAAATAGGTTATCCTTAATATGTAATGAGAGACCACCTCATGTTCAACTTTTAAATTGACCTCAAGCTCTACTGTACATTACATTGTCCCCTGATGATAGACCACCTCTATTGTAAGGACAACATTTCCAGGAACCAGTGGACAGCCTCTCAGTAGGAGGACTACTCCATACAAAGCACTGATGAAGTTTGCATCTCAAAACGACTTATCTACTGCATGTATGCAATCCATTGTCAGTATTTCTTATGTTGGATCTCTTCTTAAATTCTAATTACAAACCTCAAGTATTATTAGTAATGAATGTCCATGTAACCAGATACCAGCAAAAAAGATGTTTTTCTGGTGGATCCCTTTTACTACAAGCTTATGTCAGAGATTTGTACTTGACATGTATGAATCTGATTTCCAGGAATATACATGTACATGTACTTGAACAAGTACATTTGTTCAAATACAAAATTTACATGTATTAGAACATGTAATTTTTAAAAATGTGCTACATGTTCAAACTACTTGGTAATAATAGCAATACATATACAGTATATGTGTGACTGATTTAAAAATTGACAGATAAATAGAACCTACATATGTATAGTATACAGTACTATATGTACATATAGTTTAGTAAACCTCCCATCTGAGAGTGCTTGCTCACGAGAGCGGAAGGAATGACAGGTTAATTGAGTACAAATTTACATCCCGCATCCAATGCTGGGTTATCACTCTAGCTGCATACTTTTGTGAGATCAAGCAAAAGTTGGGAAAACAACTTGCTAATGCAGATGCTCTTAGCAGACTTCCTTTACCTGATCAACCGAAGTCAGTTCCTATGCCTCACAATGTAGTCCTGCTACTAAATCACATTTCAGACACCATTGTCCATGCCTCTACAATCAAAGAGTGGACAGCTAGTGACCCAGTTCTTTCCTGGGTGTGCAAACTAGTACAAACTGGCCGGATTTCTGATGAAACCTCTCCAGCCCTGCAGCCGTTTTTCCAGTGTTATGCTGAATTAAGTGTTATTGATGGCTGTTTACTCCGAGGGTCTCAAGTAGTTATACCTCCTCAGGGTCGCCCCTCTATACTATCCCAACTTCATGATACACACCCAGGCATCAGTTGAATGAAGAATCTCGCTCAAGCTCATGTGTGGTGGCCAGGCTTAGACAAAGACATTGAAGACAAAGTGAAAGAATGTGTTACTTGCCAGATTTCTTGTCCTACTCCACCACAAGCTCCAGTTCATCCCTAGGAATGTCCATCTTCTCCATGAACTAGGATCCATATAGATCATGCTGGTCCTTTTATGGGGAAAACATTTCTCATTATTATTGATGCACATTCCAGATCGCTAGAAGTAGAGATTGTCAGTTCTACATCAGTGGAAGCCACTATTCAGGTTCTAAGAAAGCTGTTTGCTATGCATAGATTGCCTGAACAATTAGTCTCAGACAATGGAACAGCTTTTACTAGTCATCAGTTTAAAAATTTTATGAGTAAGAATGGTATTCGTCACTCCCTAACTTCCCCATATCATCCTCGTTCAAATGGTCTGGCAGAACGAGCTGTTCAGATAACTTTGATATTACAAAGTTATCTTTGATGATACATAATCCACCACCGGCCATTACGCAGATTAACTAGACCAAGGACTCAAGTGGATATTGGACCCTATGTACATTGAATTCAAAGGGGGAAGGGTGTGATAATGGTGCTCTGACATTTATGCATTCATGTACATGTACACGTAACTACAATATTCTGTTATTATTATTATTATTACTGTGTATTCATTGTTGTTGTACATATGTTATGTATTGATCATTATGTATGTATTATTATTGTTACTATTATTATTATCATTGTTATTATTGTTCTTATTGTTACTTATTGTGGCCATTATTATTTCTATTTGTAGGCAGACTGTCAATATGACATCATATGATGTATTATAATTTTTAGTATATAAGTGCATGCTTTTACTGTATTTGTTGTTCATTTGTTCGTTTGTTCATTTCTTCTTCCTTTTACTTCATTATTTCCATTCTCATTTAAAGTCCTCTTTGAACCTAGCGAGTTTGCCATTCTCACATTACTGAGATACACGTGCTGTTCTTCATACACCCATTTGTGTACTACTTCAACTACTGGTTGCTATACAATTCAATTCCCGGTTCCCAATATTACAGTAGCTACTGGAACAAATCTGAAAATACACATTTAAGTGCATGTACATGTACATTCCTAGAAATGAGATTTGTAATGAGATGAGAAATGAGATCTAGAAATTCCGAGTAGTAGTTATGTCCCATGCAGAGCCACTTTAATGCAAAACAATGATTTAATAATACAACAATGTATTGAGTTTTTTTAAATGATTATTTTAAAGTCTGGACTGACTAGTATACATTCACTCAGTGGATGAAAGATGATATTTATAGACTAAGCTATGGGGGAGTGTTTGTTACTGCAGTAATAAGACATCATATTATACATGGCAATGGTAGTACATATAGTACTAGATCTATCTGTAGTGCAACAAAGTTATGTGGGCAAAATAATAATTTGTAGTAGTCTTGTATGTAGTATAATCATAATGGCATACATACAAACTACAAAATTTGCCAACTAGGAATATGTACATCCAGAGAGGCTGATTTATTCAAATACAAATTTGAATCAGTTCTAAGAATGTACGTAACATGTATTACTGGAATTGAAATTTGTACCTCAACAAATTAAGTACAACTGTACATATTCCTAGAAATTGTATAAGTAAAAATATCAAAATTCTAAGAAAAAAATCCCATGTAAATATCCATCTGCTTACACATAAATGTCATAACAATAACACAATCAATGTCTCACAGAAACTTTGAGCTATAGTTTAACGAATGATTATTTCAATATTATTATCCATTATTATTATTATTAGTATTTTTAATTTTAGTGATATCATTTTTCTTATACATCCTCTCCAGTCTCCCTGCGTCTCTGTCCTGTTTCTCTCCTCCAATCAGTACTACCACTTCTCCCTCTCTACCCATCCTACCCACTCTACCCGCCAGGTGTAGGTACTCAACACCATTACGAGGTACTTTAGTCAAGTACAGAGTACCAACAAAACTAAAATCAAGTCCACATACAGTTTCTTCGGTACCAACAACCATTTCAATGTCTCCGTTTTTAAATTTTCTCAAAAATGACTTGTATTTATTGATGTTCATCACTTCTTTATAAAGAGCTCTGTGTTTAATGTCTTTCTGTGCTAGTTCACTCATGAATTGATTAATGGAGGAGTTTCTATGTATGAATACAAGAGCTCTTCCTTCTCCTCTCTCTCGTTTGACTTTATTGAAATGACTGACTAATACATCAACTTTATTATCATCTCCACACTTGATGTACTCATGACTGATAGTATCAGGTACTCTCATCCTTTCTGAGGTCTCTACTGTCGTTATTATATTAGGTACCTCCCCCAGCCGTTTTCAGTGAGTTCTTCAAGTGAGTGGGCGGGCA